CTTTAATATTTCTAGCATTGTTTTTAGGCTTCCTTCATTCTTTTAAATGTGCCAAGGGAAGAATAATAGACTCTTTTTTAAATTGAGTTCCTCTGTTGGCATGTAAAAGAGATCTAGGATGTGACTCCTTCTGATATCAATGAAAAGATGCTGTGATCCTGGCTCTGCTCCTGTAAGTCTGATACATGTTTTCAAACCTCTTCATCAGAATTATTTCCTTGACAATAGACAGTAATTCTTTCAGCAGGGTTCGTGGGGAGGTTATTCTCAAAGCACCATATATGAAGAATGAAAGATAGGGAAGAGATTTAAAATTCTGAAGAGTTTAGATCTGTGATGTTCACTGCTTTTGAGATACCAGTTCTGTTGGTCATTGCATATGTACATATGGTTGTATGAGAATGCAATGTATGGAGGCACCTTTCTCTGACACTTTACTAGTAGTCTGCAGTCCACAGACTGGAAACTATTACTTTTGATTTTTCTCATTGTAATTGTTTCAAGCCAGACAACTTGGTTTTTGGAATTCAGTGAGGATGGTGAGACAAGGTGTCCAGACTGTGTATTGACAGTACGAGATCTATTACTTAAGTGGCATCCTGCCAGTCATAATGTATTTTGTTGTTGTTAGTAGAGGAAGAACTGAGAATGTTATTGTTGTTGTTGCTTCACTGTAGGAAGCTTTGAGGGGAGTTTTTATCTTCTTATTTATTTTTGCACTAATAGGCATTCTGTTGAAATGGAAACATTATATGGGTCTTCTGAATACCTGTGTCCAACATAACATTTTTTTCCACTTAACTAAAGACCTAATAGGCCATTTGTGGTCAAACTTAAAATTCTGGTTAACTGTAATGCACTTCAGTTTAGTAAGGTATGTTTTCATTGTGGTGCAGAGAATGGCAGTTATTCTTGGCCCATGCAGAGGCAAAATTTAAAGCACTGAACAATTACTACACTGAAGAAATAGATCATCTTACTGAATCAATATATCAGTACAAAGACAAGTGAGTGAGACTGCAAGGAGATGCATTCTAAAATGTTTGGCTCCCCAGAGCAGAGTTTGGGCAAGAGACGCTTTTGGAAGATTTTGGCATAAGTAATGTTGTTTAGAAGTCTTCAGTTTCTTGATTGCGTTTAATTTTGTTCAAGTCTGTTAGTGTTGCACTGATTTGATGGCTGTTGCTTCTTTGTGCTTTCTTTTGTATTTTTCTATTGTCCTCTCATACACTGGTGATTTTAATTCTGCTTTTGACCTTTGTCATAACTATTGTTGATTCTTATACTGCTGAGTTCCATTTGTTGGCTGGGACACTTAGTGTTGGTTCATGGTCTTCTTTCCTGGGCACTGTTGCATCTAAGGAGCCTGCTACATCATGTTTCTTTACATACATAAGGCTCCTAGAGGAGAGAAGTAGCATTTGAGTACAATTGAGGACAATCAAGCATTGGAGCAGGTTGTCCAGAAAGGTGGTGCAGTCTCCATTACTGGATATTTTCAAGAATTCTTTGGGTAAAGCCCTGAGCAACCTTGTCTGATTTCATAGCCGGTTCTGCTATAAGCACGTGGTTGGATAGAGACCTCCTGAGATCCCTGAATTATCCTGTGGTCACAGCACATATTACTTCTTGGAGCCTCTGCTCCAAGTGTGTCAGGAGCTGCAGAAGGTGGTATTCATAGAGAATCTGCACAAAGCAATAGACGGTCAATTGGGAAATAAAAAAGGAGAATTCAAGGTTGAATCTGCTATTGATTCTCAGAGCACATCTTCCAGCCATTCCTATGTATGCTGTGTGGTAAATAATTGTTAATAAACTCAAGTGTTTGTACTAAAAGCTTCCTCTGATTACTAGAATTTTCCCTTCTGTTCCTCAGCTTTCTCCTATTCAGCCTGTATATACTAAAGTAAGTGGTGTGCATTAAATAAATGGGTAATCCTCAGGGAAAGGATTTGTGTTTATCATAAAACCAAGTGTGTCTTTTATTTCATGTTTTTTATAATGAATGATAACTGAATTTGAATTTTTAAAATTTATATGTCAAATCAGTTTTCCTATACCATTAATTTAGACACTTTCTCTTTCCTCATTTCTCTGAGTGGTAGATAACTGCCAGTTGCACTAGACTTAGACTGTCAGAGTCTTTTTGTAGTTAGAGTGTTAACAGCAAGTTGCAAAGTGTGTTTAATGCAGCCTGATCTCTTTTTTAAAGCCAGCTAGGATCTGAGGTCAATTGCAAAGTGATGTCTTACAAATGAAAGCAAACACTAATTCTATCTTTCCACTTCTAAAGCAAAAGCTAAATTAAAATCCTAGTAATTCCTTTTTGTCCTGAGTTTTTAAAACATTTTTCCTTCTGCTAACAGTCTCTTAAATTGTTGGGAGTTTTGAGCCTTAATTTCTCTTGTTTGTTTTTTTTTTCCCTCTTCTTCCTGGTCATGGCTGGTACCTATAGCATGCTGCTTGGCTGCTGGTAAAACAGGAAATGAGGTGAGTAATTTCTTTTGGCAACCCTCATATCACTTCTATTAAGAGAGTTCTCCAGATTTAGAGAAAGGAGAAATGCTCTTACTATAATGTTCTTCCAACATGGTAGAAATGAAAAAAACGCTTAATGCAGTGGACCTGCTGGTACAGGTATGCTAAGAGAAAATTTTAACCAAGCAATTAATGCTGTATTTTCGAGGTCAGGACAGTTGCTTTCTTATGGAAGTACTTCTGCTAACAGTTGTGTAATATGTAGATTCACTTGCTATGTCCTTGGTCAAAATTTTAACTTACTTTGTACATTCAGAACTAATCATAAGGAAATTCATAATTGGAATGTGCTGGGGTTTTTTAAATATTGTTTTTTTTATTTTTATTGTCCATAGCTTTTGCTGTATGTCTGACAATAACACCATTTGTCTGTATAAATGTTGAGCAGGCAAAAAGGATTTTTGTGCTTCCTTTTAAATAAAGGATTTTTCTGCATATCTCTTTCTCAGCTCTTCTCCAAGTAGACTCTGGAAAGACTTTTTCAACTTTTTGCAACTTTTGCTACTTTTAATCTACCATGAAGTTATGGCATGAGCTTCCTTAATGCATGTTCTTTTATGCAGAAGAAAAAAAAAATTTTTAAATGTTAGTGAAAATAACACTAGCAAATAGAGGGCAAAACCAAATCTTATTTAGGCTGGAAGCTGGACGGGAAGCTCCTTAGGGAGTAGCATAGGTGCTGCCTTACAGGATCTAGATACTTAGTTTACTTAAGCTGAACTAGATGTTGATTTACTATCAGAAGGATCTTGTCTCCATCTGCATGTACCTTCTGTCTTTCTGGTGTTAATATAAATGTTTATGTGACCACTGGAAGAGCTGATAGTCTCACTGATCTGGTTGAAAACCAAATCTTTTTTTGATGGGTTAGGGTTTGCTTTAAATGGGATCAATGGACTGGTATTACTTTCCATGCTGTGTAGTGTCAGCATGCAAGTGCTGGCAGGGAAGCATGGCCAAAGGGC